AAATCACCGACATCCCCAGCCACGAGGGACCAAATCACGCTTCCACGCTCCGGGAATCCCGGATCCGTTTTATTGCTCCTCATTTTCACGTGGGAACCCACCAACAAGCAGCCGGGCCAAATCCATGGGGGGGTGCAAGAATCGGTGGGGAGGGGATTGGGGAAGGAAACGGGTGTTTGGAAAAGGTAGTGTCCAGTAAAAGCCGGAAAAACGGGACGGAGACCCCTCGGTTCCTCCCAAAATATTCCAGCGGGTTTGGAGGCGAGAAGCCAAGAGGATTTTGGGCCTCTCAATCCACCCCGGTCCCGAGAATGTCGAGTGTGGTGGGAGGAAGGGTGGGAATGAGGGTGACACAGAGCCGTTTTGGGGGTCTGAGGGGGAACGAGGGAATCACAGAGCCATTGGGGCAAAAATGAGGTCAAAATGGATCCGTTGAGGGTGTCTGAGGGGAGAATTAGGCCAAAATGGATCCAGTGAGGGGAAAAACGGGGCTGAAATGGATCCACTGAGGGTGTTTGAGGGGAAAATGAGGCCAAAATGGGTCCGTTGAGGGAAAAAATGAGGCCAGAATGGATCTGTTGAGGGTGGGTGAGGGAAAAGTGAGGCCACAATGGATACGAGACCAAAACGGATCCATTGAGGGAAAAATGAGACCAAAACGGATCCATTGAGGGAAAAATGAGACCAAAACGGATCCATTGAGGGAAAAATGAGACCAAAACGGATCCATTGAGGGAAAAATGAGACCAAAACGGATCCATTGAGGGAAAAATGAGACCAAAACGGATCCATTGAGGGAAAAATGAGACCAAAACGGATCCATTGAGGGAAAAATGAGACCAAAACGGATCCATTGAGGGAAAAATGAGGCCAAAACGGATCCACTGAGGAGGTTTGAGGAGAAAATGAGGCCAAAATGGATCCACTGAGGAGGTTTGAGGGGAAAATGAGGCCAAAATGGATCTGCTGAGGGAAAAAATGAGGCTCAAATGGATCTGTTGAGAGTGTTTGAGGGGAAAACAAGGCCAAAATGGATCCGTTGAGGATGTTTGAGGGGAAAATGAGGCCAAAACGGATCCATTGAGGGAAAAATGAGGCCAAAACAGATCCGCTGAGGATGTTTGAGGGGAAAATGAGGCCAAAATGGACCTGCTGGGGGTTTTTGAGGGAAAAAGAGGCCGAAACACGTCTGGGGATGGAAGGGGGTATCTGGGATGAGGCGGGAACCCAAAGGCACCTCCAAGGGGTCGGCCGGCCGGCCGAAAGTCACTGGCTGGGCCCCACCAGCAGCTCCTTGCGGAGATGCGTCCGCTTGTGCTTCATGAGGGAAGAGCTGGACATGAAGCACTTGGAGCATTTGGAGCACTCGTAGGGTTTCTCCCCGGTGTGGATCCGCTGGTGGATGATGAGGGTGGAGCTGGCCCGGAAGCTCTTCCCGCAGTAGGTGCACCGGTACGGCTTCTCCCCGGTATGGATCCGCTGGTGCCGCCGGAGGCTGGCGTTATCCCGGAAAGCTTTCCCGCAGTCGGAGCAGACGTAGGGTCGGGGTCCCGCGTGGCTCCTCTGGTGCAGGAGGAGGCCGGAGTTGAGGTTGAAGCCGATGCCGCAGTCGGAGCACCGGAAGGGTTTGTCGACCGCGTGTGTCTTCCGGTGTTGCTCCAAAGAGGAGAATTCCAAGAAGGCTTCCCCGCAGCTGGAGCAGGGATACGGGGCCTGGCCCCGGTGCGTCCTGAGGTGAGCTACGAAGGCGGAGTTTTTGGGGAAGGTTTCCCCGCATTCGGGACACTTGTAGGTGCCCTCTTCCATGTGGGATTTGCGGTGTTTGCTGAGCGACTTGCTGGCCATGAAGCTCTTCCCGCAGTCGGGGCAGGCGTAGGGCCTCTCCCCGGTGTGTATCCGGCGATGGATGACGAGGGTGGACTTGGAAGTGAGTTTTTTCCCGCATTCCGGGCAGACGAAAACGACTTCTTCCCCGTGTTTCTTGCGGTGCTTGTTGAGCGACTTGCTGGCTATGAACCTCCTCCCGCACTCCGGGCAGGCGTAGGGCTTCTCCCCGGTGTGTAGCCGGCGGTGAACGATCAGAGCCGAGTTGGAAGTGAGGATTTTCCCGCAGTCGGAGCAGCGGAAGACCCGGTTTTCCAGGTGACGCTTGCGGTGGTTCCTGAGGGATTTGGCGGAGGCGAAGCGTTTCTCGCAGCTGGGGCACTTGTAGGGTTTGGCCGCGCAGTGGGTCTCCTGGTGATCCTTGAGGGCGGAGCCAGACGGGAAGTTTCTCCGGCACTTGGAGCAGGAGAAAGGGTTTTCCCCGAGATGGATCCGCTGGTGCCGGGTGAGGGAGGAGCGGCGGCTGAA